AGCTTCTGATGATATTATATATGTTATAGCGCCCTGGTGCTATAACATATGGTAAAGAAATATACTACTACTTTATTATTTTTATAATATCTTCGTAAAAATTACAATATTAAATTATTAAATATCAATTTCATACTACATTTAATTACTAAAATTGTTATTTATTCGTATATAATAATTATAAAACAAATAACTAATTGGGATAAAATTAAGGGAATAAGAGTTATTTTTGTTTTTGAAATAATCTACCAATTTCTTAAAATTAAACACTATCTACAGATTTGCATAGAAGTATTTTTTATGATAGTGATTTTAATCAATGTCAGATATCATCTATACTTGTACCAACTATGCCACGTCCTCACTATGCCGCGACCTGACTGTGCTGGGTTTTTTTTTTTAATTTTTAGTATGCAACATAAACTTTAATTTGACACATGTTTTAAGGACGCAGTATTTCAGGAACATTTTCAAAAATGAAGTTAAAAATGTTGTTTTTTTGAAATCCTCAACTTAGTAGGTAAAGGGTTAAATTTTCAAAAATATTTTATCAAATAAAAGGGAATTACTTAAGTATTAAATATAAAAAATAATTATTTTGATTCGTTCATTTTTCAATAAATTATGGAAATATTTAGAAAAAACAGTGAAAAAGTTGTTATTTTTAATCTCCTCTTGTAGACAGGTAAAGGGTCAGATTTATAAAAAAAATATACCAAATGATAGGTAAAGACATTATACATCTATAAAAAAAATTATATTGATTTAGTCATTTTTGAAATAGTTATGACAGTTTTAAGTAGAAAAATTTGAAAAAAAAAATAAAAAATTAGCGATTTTTAAATTTGTATTTTTTTTAGGAGATTTCCCCCATTTACGGGGAACAATAATATTTTTTCAATTTTTGATGGTAATGACTTCGACTAGATACGATTTGTGATCTTTTGGCGTATCATTGAAAGAAAACAGTTCGGTGACAGCTGAGAAAAAGTGGTAAAAGACAAAAAACAAAAAAAAACACATAGTAAAACTAATAACTTCTCAGGTTCGCATCGAAGCTAAAATTGGTAAATTATTCCAAAAGCTACATGATCTCCTATTTTCTTATTTATATCCTGACTACAAGTTTTATGATTTATAAGTGTAATATATGAATATATATTTTTATAGTATATAAATTTATAAAGAGAAATAGTTTTATTTAAAAAAAAAGTATGTCGAATAAGAGGTATTTTTCAAAAAATTATAGCATTATATAATTAAATATATAAAAAAAAATTTTTTTCAAAAAACTTAAATTTTTATTAATTTTGATGTTTACCATGAAAACAAACTAAAGTCTGAAATTTCTCTTTTCCTTAAGAAAGTAAATTACATCAGCTTTAATTTAAGTTATTTATAAAAGTGTCAGTATTTCTGGACCACTTTTAAGAGTTATGTTGAAAAAGTTGTCATTTTGAATCGCCTCAGTGGGCAGGTAAAGAGTCAGATGTATAAAAAATATATATCAAATAATAGGTAAAAACATCATGCATTAAAAAAAAATTATATTGATTTAGTCATTTTTGAAAAAGTTATGGCAATTTTAATTTAAAAAAATTGTAAAAAAGGCGAAAATTAGCGATTTTTAAATTCGTAATTTTTTTGGTATTTTCTTCATTTACGGACTACAAGGAAAATGTTTTCAATTTTTGAGGATAATATCTTCGACTAGTTACAATTTTTGATATTTTACTTATTGTTGAAAGAAATCGGTTCGGCGAGAGCTGAGAAAAAGTGGTAACAGACACAAAAAAAAAAACAAACACTATAGTAAAATTAATACCTTCTCAAATTCTTTGAAGCTAAAAATTGTCCCGACGACCTATCTTCTACGTGCAAATGGTTGCCGTAGTTAAAAAACATGCTATTTTTCTTTGTTTATATTAAAATACGTTATATGGGTTTGCCATTTAATGAGTCAGCCAAAAAATATAAAATTTACATGAACATAAATTAGATTAATTATAAATTTATACTTATTTTGATTATTTTGCCTCTTCAAAGTTAAAAAAAGCTTAATTGAAAACTTGAAAATTTGTATATAAAGTAGAACCTTTTTAACTTTACTTTGGAAAATGTTCCGGGAATACTGCGTCTTTTAAATATATGTTAAAATAATGTTTACTTTAAGTATTTTAGTTAAAAAAAATTTTTAACTCACGACCTATATGCAAATGGCAGTTGAAGTAGAACAAAAAAATTGGAGTCAATTTTGCATTTAGAATAATCCATCAGTTTATTAAAATCAAGCACTACCTACAGTTTTGCATAGAAGCGTTTTTTAAGATAGTAATTTTTATCACTGTCAGATATCATCTTTACTTTTCCCAACTATGCCACGACCTCACTGTGCTACTGTTTTTATCACGCCTTATTTGCCGTGTACCTAACAGCAATAATTGATAACGGTAATGAACTGATAAAAATAAAATTCAACGTTTGCTACGACCCCCACGCTACGTTATATTTTATATAATATTAAAATAGTAAGTATTATTATAATTTATATTTACTACTAATGTTGATTGTGATTCATAATCTATGAACAAATTAAAAAAAGAATAATTTATTTAAGTAGGTATATCTATTTTTACATGTCCTGATGAAATTTCAAAATGACCTACTTGAAATCTGGCATATCCAAAAAAATATCTAAATGATGCCCCTGTTTATGAAAGCTCCAAATCCAAATAGTGTAACTTTTGGTAAATAAAAAATAACTATTTTTCTTATACAAATTTACATGAAAAAAATGTTAAAAAATATTTTAAAGTCTTATGCGTTATACTTATTTAAATTTATGAATACTAATTTTTCATTCCAAATAAAATACTTATTGTTTAGCGAGAAACGATGTCTCTTTCAAGTATTATATTGAGTCACATAGAGAATTGAACTATTAATTTTCTCTTTTCATTGCAGTTTAAATGGCTGGTATTAAACAGTTTCGCCAATTTCTTAATTCTATTTTTAAATAAGGACTTCTTTCCACTGTGAATACTTCGTTCTTATAAGGGTTCCAGTTTAAATTACTTGTTTGAATTCGTCAAATAGTATTCGGCCCTTCTGAAAATTTTACGTATTACTAATGACTTTATTGTTAAGGAAAACCGGACTAATACTATTCCCGATAATAACATTACCATTCAATCCTTACTTTTTTCTCATAATTACGTTATATTTAATTGATTCGTCGGACGAGATTGTTAGCACGCACGTACTACGTGGTGGGGTAATTATCATTTCCAATTATGATTTTTGCACTTCGTTTGCTGGTAAAATGTTTATACGAAGATATAATATTACTTTATTAGTAAAAAGAAGAAATAAAATGATAACATTTTTTTTAAGCCTGATATTTAAATTGAACTCGTATCTGTGCCCATGTCGACTAAAAATTTAAAATCGTTATGTTATGATTACAATCAGCCGATGCATATTTTATGTGCTCTCTTTGCATATATGAAATTGTTCTTACGTTAGCGCTTACCAGTACACCTTCTAATTTGCTGTTTCTGTTATCACTCATTATTATTACTGCTACTTAACTGTCCATTTAAGTAGCGCTTTTTTCTTTCATTATATGCACAATGACGGCATCACGCGATTTTACTTACGAGAGTAATTGCAATATTTTAATTTCCCGCACTATTATTTTGATTATTACTGCATTTGATGGTTTATACAAATTTAGCCTATGCTGACTTGTGTGACATTCCACTTTAAAATGTCCATACTTTCAACACCTTCGTCATTGAATTTTACTTTTATTTTTTAAAAAGCCTCATTACTTTTGAAAAATGCACTTTTTTTCTCTAGTATCAGAAATATTGCCTCTTTTAACGTTTCGAAATTATTCTTTACCCATTCTGTATTTCCGATATAAAAATGCTAAGTGCCTATGACTAAATAATTTTCCCAATTATTTTAGTTTTCTCTGGTGATTTACCGATAATTAACGCAGAGATTAATTTTTATTAATAGGACTTTTCAACTCAAATCAGTGTTGCCTTGAACTTGTTTAGCGATCGAATTAAAAATCGTTCTCAGATGATTTTTTATTCACTCCATAAATTAATTTTCATGCCTCTTATACATTCATGCACTTTACCAGTAAGTCGTGCCAAAATGGAACCAAAAATAGTTGTTTTTGCGGCTTTATTACTATGGTTCATAAAAGAATCTATTTTATAGTTTATTTGAAATCTATCCTTAATATTTTATGGCATGTTTAGAAATATAATTTCTTTAACTAAGAATTCATTATAAATTATTAATAATTATATGTATTTTAACATGTATATAACACATTTATTAACAACTATTAATTATTGAGCGTATATCATTAAATAATGTACACTAGATTAATTTATGTACAAAAATTAATCTCATTTTTATTGACATTATCAAATTTTTACCTCACAAGACTGTATAGAAACAAATTCGCTTATATCGTATATTAGTATTTTACAAAAATTAAACCTTTATTTTTTTATTGTTGGAATTTATATAATAAATTATTTTTTAAAGTTATAACGAACCTATGTATATGAGTAAATAAAATTACAATGTATTGTAATAAATACATATCTCATTTTTTCGCTAAAAAACTAATATTTTTTGGAAATATCATTTTCAATCAATTTTTTAATTACTGAGTACTAACTAATTTTACGCAATAAAGAAATAAATAAACGTGTAATAAAAATAAAAATTTATATAATTATGTATTAATATTTTTACTTTTAATAAAATATTATTTTTTTAATATTGAAGCACACATGAAATCAATTATGGAGTATATTTTAATGTTAAACATTAAACGTATTTTTATTGAAATATTTTTATAAATTGTACAAAATGATATTATGTACTTGAAAAACATGTTTAAGGTTACGCTCAATTTCCTTGTAGTATTCCCATTCGCACTATAAATTTGCTGATAATCACTTCAAAGCGATATTTAATTTTTATAAGTAAAATTGCATACATTAAAATTCTTCATACCTAGACGATTACATGATGATACTACTCGTGTCTATAAAACTCAGTATATTATATCTATTAACTTCTAAAGTTTTAAGTCAATCTTTGAGACAAAATGAAAATGAGTCTCTGATTGTCAAATTCGAAGATGCTTCATCTAAAATCAACACCAAGAATTACGTGTTTCCTCCATCTCAACCAGCAGATTTATTTTATAAAGCCTTTACAAATTTAACATTAGATCAAACTAATAGTTCACTATGTCGCATTCAATCAGATCTATATATTAGACACTTGAAGAATAATTCCCTTTGGGCTGTTAAAAGTAAGTAAATATATATAAACGTATAAATATGTTATTTCAATATATTGATTTATTCTAACATGTAAAAAATAAGGGTTTGAGACTTTTATTAATGAGAAGTCAGATAACGTTGCACATATTGTGTAAATATTAAATTTATAATATTAAAAAAATTAAATATGAATTCTACATTTATTAATAATGATCAATATACCATCAATGTTCTTTTCACTAAACATAATGATGGATGAATATTGTATTTTAAACTTGTAATAATATTTGAATCTTGATATCATTTAAATTTGATTTTATTAAAGATTTTTTTATCATTGCTCAGTATACATTGTATAAGTTTAGAGTATTAATTAATAATTTTGAAAAAAATTACTATTAAATAAATTTATCAAAAAAAAAAAATATGTCCTTACCTATGAATAAAACTAGGGATCAAATATTTCAATAGTATTCAAAAAAATATTTGTATTAAGTATAGATATTTTGAAAATAATTTTAAAAAAATGATTGGAAAAATAAGTATTTAAAAACTTTTAATTAAGTACTTTACAGGTTTCTACAAAACATAGTTCAGTTTGAGGAAATTTTAAAGAGAATTTTAATATTTAATGTTTTAAATTGTAAATGTATATTGTATAATTGTTTAAATCTTTTTAATCTGTTAGATTAAGGTTTAATTTTTTAGCGAAAATCATTAAATGCATCATTTATGCAGCCTGTTAATATTATAATTATCAATATATAGTATAAAACAGATCTAACTGACAACTCACATAACTTATGATCTACATAAAATGTACTTTTTTTAGCTTCGATGGAAGCTGAGAAGGTATTAATTTTACTATGATGTGATTTTTCTTTTGTGTCTGTTGCCACTTTTTTTCAGCTATCATCGGATCGATTTTTTCAATAATACGTAAAAAGATTTTAGTTTAAGACAACATTGTTCATAAAAATAGAAAAGATTCCCCTTAATTCTTGTAAATGGGGAAAACCACCCAAAAAANGATTTTTTCAATAATACGTAAAAAGATTTTAGTTTAAGACAACATTGTTCATAAAAATAGAAAAGATTCCCCTTAATTCTTGTAAATGGGGAAAACCACCCAAAAAATTACGATTTTTAAAATTGGTAAATTTATTCATTTCTTTCACTTTTTTATTTAAAACTTCCATTACTTTTACAAAAATGAACGAATAAAATTAATTTTTTTTATATAGAAACTTTAGGTATTTTTTATATCATTCTTTTTTATTTTAACCCTTTACTTAGAGGGGATTTAAATTTACAAAAGTTAACTTTTTCAACATAACTTTTGAAAATCTTCCGGAGATACTGCGTCCTTTAAATATATGTGAAATTAAAGCTTATGTTACGTACTATAAATTAAATTTTGTTGCGACGAATTATCTACGTGCAAATAACTACCGTAGTTAATACGCAACTACTTAATAATTTTTGATAATTTCTCTATAAATCTTACAATAATAAATAATTGAATATAAATTTTATACTGAATTTAATTAATATAATTAAATTATTCATGTTAATATTTATAAATCATAAAACTTATAATTATAATTAATAATTATTAATTACTAAGTATTTATTAATACATTATTCTTATAAATCAAACAAATACTAATCAAGATATAATTAAGAAAAAAAGAGTTGGTGTTGTTTTTTTAATAATCCATTAATTCCTTAAAATTAAACACTATCTACAGATTTATATCGAAGCGTATTTTATGATAATGATTTAATTACTCTCTAATATAATTTATATTTGCCTCAATTATGCCTCGTCCACAGTATGCTACTCTGATTTCATTTTAATCTTTTGTCGTACATGTTTCATTCATTTCTTAAGTTTCATAATTATACATTACAGTTTTTGAATAATTTGTCTAGTAACAATATATGTTGTAATCTACATGGGTTATGATTGATTTTCAGTATATTTTTGGAGTATGTTGACTGTTAAATTATTTGCATTAACTAACACTGATTACAATGAAAATAATTATCATGATACACCTAAAATATTACATGCATTGTATTATCTTATTCTATCATTTTATATTCCTAAATATTACCAATTATTAATTATACACTGTATACGAATAAAAAATAACCAAGTTAGACCAATGAAGAATGTTAGGAAGACTAGTTATCTTAATGATTTTAACATTTAATAATTGTGTGGCTTATGATAAACCGATCACCTTGTATACATATATATATATATATACATGTATAATTGTTGAAAATAAGAATTCAGAATTTTGCTGACAGTATGGTAAACTGGGTTTTCTACATCCAATTTGCCCACGCGGATGAGTGTAATCGAGAAGAGTCAAAATAATAACTATAATGTAACATTCATCGATTGTACACTGACCCCGAGTGAGTGGTCAGGTCCCTTTTTATTAGAAATAATAATCAATTAACAATGCTTCTAGTGTTATACTTTCTAATGCAATTAATAATAATCTATTATTTACTTTTACTTTCTAATAATACAAATTCCTTAAAACTAATATTTACATATAGTTATGGGTTCATGACAACAGAGCCATAATTTCAATAAAAAGAACTTTTTGTTAATTTATTTAAAAAGTGTAAGCATTGTTTTATTACAACCTGGAAGTTTTTTTAAATCAGATAGAATTTGTTGATAATACTGTTTATGACATTACATTATAATGTAGTAATCTTCTATTCATTTAACGGCTCTCTCAGCGATATAATTTGTAACAGGTATACATTTCATTACCATATACATAACTACGAAATTAGTTGTTTGTATGTTTTTCAAATTTTTTACAAATTTTTTTTGTTAAATTTTGTTATAATTTGCATAATAGATTTCTAATAGGTACAACGTGTTCGTTTTTTATATTAACAAAGTGAAATATAATAAAATAAATTTACTTTGAAAAGGATTTTCAAATCGCAAGTTTTAACAAAATATTTATGATAAAATTGAAAATAACTTTTTGAAAGTAAAACTAAACTAATAACTAACATATTTATTAATTTTTAAGGTTTTGATAACTCAAATCATCATTAAATGAGGTCACCTGATTTTCAGCTATCATAGATTTGTACAAAACTAGGCGACCACGATTACCCACTGAATATCATTTTCCCTTTTGCCTTACAATGCTTATGTTTCAACTATTTAAAAATATTAAAAATAGCATTTGTCTCATTATAACAAGATCCATCTAGATAGAATATGTAAATAATATGCATTTTATAAGAAAAGTTAGAAAAACTTCTTAAGCTTTGTATTGAATTAAACTTCTATAAAGTTTCCAAATTCCAAAATCTTCAATTTTTTTAATGTAAATAAATGTATTGTTATAACTGAAAGTATATAAAAAATATAAAGATTCAATTTTGGTTTCTCTTTAGTGTCCGATTCCTGGTATAAATATTCTAGTGGTATGTTTAGTGGAAGTCTTTATCAAATGGGTGTTTATGACGAATGTATTGATATTCAGTATCCACTTCAAGGTCAATATTGTATTGCAAACATCAAATTATCCTCTGCATTAACAAATGAAAACTATTCATTGAAAGCATTCGAAAATTTACAAGACTGGGATAATGCTTGGAATAAAATCTTTGGGGTAGGTGTTATATCCTATTTTAGTTGTAAGAAAAACAATTTTTATATAAACATTATTAGAACACATATTATAAGGTTCATACTACTTTTAGATACATTTTTTCTTTTTTTGAATTCAAATTCATTCGAATTCGGAGGAGAGTGGTGGTATGATAATTCTATTTGTTTATATCCCGAAGCTATTTACGTCGATCTAACAAAGGGCAGTTGTGTTTAATGTTACATTATAGTTAAAATGATATAGTATATAACTAAACCTACTGTACAGCTTACAATTTTGCTAACGAAATAATTATTTTTTGTTTAGAATTTATATTAAACCTACATATACATTCACATGAATTAATATGAACGTATAACTAGGTTTATTACAACAATAATAGGATATCATTATAATTTTTATAGAAAACATTAACTTTATTATGGAAAAAAAAATTTTGGACTTTATTTTGTCTTCACGGTGAAAATGGATACCGAATGCTATTTTTGTGTGAATATTCTCATTTTTTTTTCGACATTTTTAACTTTATAATGTTATAACTTATTGAAAAGTGTATAGACCAACACAGTTTTTTTATGAGAAATAATATTTATATGATGTAAATATTATTAAAAGGGATATAAATTATATCCCTTTTTTATTCAACATACTTTATTTTAATCGGGATATAAATAAGGAAATAGCAGATCATGTAGCTTTTGGAATAATCCACCAATTTTTTAAAAATTAAACACTACCTAAAGATTTGCATCGAAGCATTTTTAACACGCTTACATTAGTTTCACGTGTATGTTGTGGTTGTGTGTTTGTAAATCTGCACGCGCACGTTATATTATTCTCGCGTATTCCGTCGTCTATGACCTTGAAACTAGACTGTCGTAACGCATTCACCCCACCCCGCTCACCGACAACACTATTTTCTTATATAATTTTTGATTTTCGTACCTGTACATGCGGGCGTATCATCAATATTACATATGTATATAAACAAATTTTTATTATTTATTATTAGATATCAACATTTAAAAATTCAAATTGTTTTGAGTTAATATACATGTATAATACATAAGGGATTACAAATACAGGTAGCTTACTGTATTTTTTACGACGATATTAGCAAGCATATAGCCTTTATTATCAATGGTAATAAGACACATTGTTGTGAGTTTATAAACACACTAACTGGCAATACAGAAATTATATCCATTACTATTGTGTGTATAGTAATATCCAAATGGATATTACTATATCCATTGACAATAAACTCTCCGTCAATGTAACAGCGATGTAATAAAAAACTAAAAAGTTAACAATAATTTTAAAAATAAGCTTAAAACAAAAATGAACGAAAAATACTAGTATTATTGTGAAAAAAAGCGTGGGGGCTTTGTGCCATAATTTTCGTATATTGACCGTTCGACGCTTTTTTTCACAATAATACTAGTATTTTTCGTTCATTATTGTTTTAAGCTTATTTTTAAAATTATTTTTAACTTTTTAGTTCGATATGCTTTAAAAGCGGGGTTTTCAGTTTTTTCAAACTATATTTATTTATGATAGTGATTTTAATCACTGTCAGACATTATTGTACTTAATCCAACTATGCCGCGACCCCCCTGTACTGGGATTTTTTTGTTTTGTTTTTATATTTATATATTCTAATTTAAAATAAGCTGTAATATGAAATAATTTAGAATGATACTAGTATTTCGTTAATACTCTTCATAATTATGATGATTATAGCTTCAACTATTTATGTTTTATGATATTTTTATGTATTATTGACTATATAATATATAGTTATATTATAACGTATTATTATTGTCCAGTAGAAGCGGAAATAATGGCATATATCAACAAAAAAAAAAATACATCTGGTTAAAATCAATAGCTTTTCAGCTACGCATCGAAGCTGAAATATATATTTTATTAATTAAAATAGCATATATCAAGTATGATGTTATTAATTTATAAACATTTGGACTTTAATTAAGATTAAAAAAAAATGTGTTATAAAATTTTCATATTTGATAAAATTGTTCTCATGTTCTAAAAAAATTCTAATTGACAACATTAACCTTGACGTTATTATTAAAATTATATTTTAATTTCATAGGCTTTTAGTAAATTTAATACTAACAGAATGAAGTACTAGAAATAGAATATGTCTAAATTAATGTCAATGAGACTTAGTTAAACATTTATTCTGTCTTATAATTGAACATGTGTATAATAAAATATTTATAAAAAAGAGTTACAATTCAACAAAACAATAATATAATTTAAAATTTTAGTGGATCGATTACAAAGATCAATTACCCAGGAACCTGGTGAAATTTGGAATGTGCATACCTGCTTCTTGTTCAGCTGCTGATCTAGAGAAATCATTACAAATAAAATTAGATGAAATATTTCTTCCTGAACAAGTAAAAACTGCAGCTACAGTCAATCCATTACTATGCTCCATTAAGGATGACATGTACCCTTTCACAAATGGCTACTACGTTACCTGGTAATTTAAGAATGATATAACCGAATGTGCGTTATTATTTGAAGAGTGAATGTGTCAAACGTTCTATGTGCCAAAAACATATTTGTTCAGAAAACACAAAAAACAATGGTAACAATGGCATGTCTCACATAACGAATACCATCTATGAATGCAATTTTGTACAAGTAAAAAATTTAATTGACATTTGAAACACATACAAGATTGTGGCCTTTGGCACATAGAACGTTTGACACATTCACTCTTCATTTAGTGTTATGTACGTATTTTAATGTACAATTAATTTCTTTTTTCGGAATTTCATAATGTGGGTGCCAGGTTACACACTTAACAACCAAAGCTCTTAGTAGTCATAATCACAATGATGCAGTTTAACATTTTTATATTATCACTATCGACAAAATTTTAGTATAAATATTTTATTTTTTCAACTTTTAATCTTTTTTTTTATAAATCATGTTTTAAGTGCATAATTTTAGATTTTTATAAATAAATATATAATTATTTTATTATTCATTTACAAGTTTTTAATATATAAATGCATATTTCAGAACTTTCACAACAGCTATTTAAATGCGTAAAATGTATATTTTTTAATTTTTTTAAAAATATTTAAAGTATTTAAAGGGGTTTCCTTGTGGTACTTAAAGGGGTTTAGTCTTCCAAAATTAAAAAAATATAATTAATATTATACAAAAAATAGTAGGTCAAGGGAACAATTAACTTAGCATGCCCACAATTTTTTTTTAACGTTATGTTAATCAAAAAATAGAAGAAATTTATAAAAAGAAAATTAAATAACTTTTTTTTTAGTGCAGTTTTTTGTTTTATGTTTCTTATTTGCTGTTGCGCTACATTTTACCACTACAAGAATATATTTAAATTGGAAGGCACAGAAAGAAGTAAGAGAACCAGACAAAATTAGTATGACATTTATTATTTAAAATTTCATTAAATGTAATTTAAAATTCCACCATAGATTGAAATATTCTAATAACTAGAATATAATAAAAACCATAAATAGAAAAATTGTATTTTTCTATACTGTATTAATTAAAATTTCAATAAGTACTTCATTTTTTATTTTACTTTAAGAAAGATCATATATTTATTCGTATGTATATTTATATATTCAAGCGTCTCACCGAATTTTAACATCTTTAATAACTTTTGATCCTACGAAAATTTTGCGTTAGTTTTTTTAAAATAATTTTTACATTTATAGACAGCTTGTATTAGCGAATATTTATAATACAATCTTCACCTGCGCTACATTCCCATTCAATGTATTAAAATACTTGTAACTGACTTACCCTAAAGTTATCAACCCATCAATATTTTTTATAAGAAATAAGAGCTAAAAAATGGTTATTTTATATTTTTTAAAAAATTAAATAATAAAAAAATAATATTTTTTTCTTATTTGAGTCAAATAATAAAAAATAACTTTTAACATGATTTTAAAGTATAAAAATTATTTTTTAAAAAAAGTAATGAAAAATGTTTGGTGGATCATTAGATTTGATCCATTAAATTGAAAAGTAATGATACAAAACTGGGTATTTGAACAGTCAACATTTTCTTAAATAAATACTGTTTAATAGTAAAATATAATAACAAGTTCTCATTTAATTTTCGTAAGTTACCTTTAAAAACTACCATTAAAAATATATTTTATTACAATAACATAATATTTATTATGGTTCATAAAAATAAACAAAAATTCTAATCTGTACGCTTTTTATGAAAAAATTATTATTCAAAAATTAATTGGGGTGTAATATTTTTAGTACATAGGTATACGCTTATAACTTTTGAGTGTACTCTTTGAGTACTTTATTATATATTTTAGTACAGTGGATATGTAGCGAGGATGGTTACAGCCTGTACTAGTGTACGTATACTCCACCCGCATTTTTAATGTATACACATGGATTAACCTGTTATTCAGCAATACATAATATTAGCTACGATATTTTTAGTTGAAAATGACGGTATTTACCTAGCATTCTCCATTATAAAAAATGGCAAGAACCTTTTAGCTTACAATAAAAATAATGAGTTGAACTTTATTAATGGATTGAAAGTTTTACTTATGGCAGTCATATTACTTGCCCATCGATTATTTCATTTGGTCGGCCTTCCTTTAAACTACCCTGAAATTTTTGAATCAGTAAGTGTAATGCGATAACATATTATTAAATTTACTATTTGATTACAAATTAATTTATGTATTCAGTATCAATTTTCATATTAATAGCTTATACAATATACTAATATGCTATGTAATTAAATGTATTTGTAAATTTAAACAGTAACGAGCTCTATTATTTAAATGAATGTATAAACAATATTATTCTTATTATGTGAATGTTTCAGATTTATGTTGCTGGTTTTCCAAGTTTATTAACTGGACAGAACATAATTGATCCATTTTTTTTTATGACTGGATTCTTAACATATATAGTACTATATCCAGTATTCACAAGTAAAGCACCATTGTGGAAAAAGATAATAATGCCATTAATTTACAGAGTCGTGAGGTCAGGAATCATTTTTTTTTCTTACAAGAGAGAGGAATATTTTATCAATTTAGTTTTCGTAAAAATCATGTGTCATATAAATATCTTATGATTCCAAACTAGTTAGTTAACGCTTGATACTATTTTTTAATTTCAATAAACTGATATTTCACAAAAATATGTTTTGGAGATTTTCTATTACGTCTATAGTGGAGAGTGTTTCTAACATACGTTGAAAAATGACAATTAAATTTTAACGGAAACATTGGATTTATACATTTCAAAAATGTTAATTTGCACAAGAATCTATTGAAATTTAATGTTTCTTTTTGTTCTAGTGAATAATATTTAGCATTATTGCTAAAATTGTAATTATCTTTTAGAAAACAAAACCACAAAATTATACAAATATAATAAAATATTTGGACAAAATTACATAACATAAATGCATTCGAATGATATTGTATAAATAATTTGATTAATTTAATAAAAACATATTTTTTTTAATTCCTAATTATTTAAATGGTTCTAATTATTATATATTCTTTATATTGTTTGTAGAACTGTTTATTTTTTATCATTTAATCAACAACTTGATAAGAACATAAGTTCTAAACATACATTTTAATATATTGTTATATTTATTATATTGATTTAGAATGTTACCATCATATATTGCTGTAATGGCATTTACTGCACAAATATTACCTCATTTTGGAAATGGACCATTCTGGAAGCAAAAAACATGGTACGAAGCAGATATTTGTAGAGATAATTGGTGGACTAATATATTATTTATTAGCAACTTTATCGATGTTAAATATCAGGTATAAGAATTAATTTTTGAATATAAAAAATTCCGAAAATAAAAAAATTAAAGATGGCATCTATCCAAAAGCTCATAAGTCACAAAAATATGATTTTGGGATAATTAGTAATATGTGTAAAAAAGGGTGTTATTTATCATTTACAAAAAACTGATATATCTATTTTTGTACTACAACAATGTTTTTTTATTAAGTGTCATTATAATTTTAATTCTTTTTGCTTTTCTGAAAAACTATCAAAATTAAAATATCAAATTTATGAAATAGTCACAGATATATATTTTACGTTATTATTAGTATTTTATTGAAATAAAAAGATTGATTATAGGCATAGAGAGAATAAATTTTTAGGTGTTTAAACCTCATTTTATTCCTGTTTAATAAATATTTTTATAATAATATATATTTAAAACATTTTTTTGGAAAGGATGTAGTTTTTAAATTAAAGGACTTAACCTTCCATTCCAGCTAAGTCTATAATTTGTTCTAAGATGTAATGATAAAATTAGTTATTTTTTTAGATAAATCAAAAAAATACTTTGTGGTATTTTTATAGTACTCGGTACAAAAGTTATTAAATAAAGGAAATTACGTAAAATATATTTTGGATCAAATATTTTTGAATTTGTCATAGCAATGTGACTCGCCTGTATATAGTGTTCAGTAAATAAGGAAACGGGTTTCTATTAATCTCATTGTTCGTAACAACTGAGCTGTTTCTTTACTTAATGAACACTCTGTATCTGTACACCGTGACTAGTATGATTTCAGGATTGGAAGGGCAACTTTCAATTTATAATTAGACATAAAAATTATTTTTAATAACACTAAACATTTTGAAAAATAAAATTTGATAATAATTTTTATTTAATGTTATACTTTAAAAATAAAGTAAAGGTACTTTGGTTTTATTTGAAATTATTAAGAAAGTAATAGCAAAAAAAAAATAGATTAATGAATCATAAATTTTTTTTATTTTTATTAAAATTATCAAGTGTCAATACGTATTAATTTTTTTTTTTATAATTTATAAGAATATATGTTCATGTGATGTATTTTATGATAAATAAAACAAAAAAAATTTATTAGAACTTTTAGTTTAAAACAACAACTTATAAAAAAATAATAAAAACGTTATTATTATTTCATCAATTATTATAACATGATTTATTAAATTCAATTTTTGTTTTAACGAGATTAAAGTTATCAAATAACTATTAAGAATATTATATCATGGTCAGAAGTTATACCTACTTTAAACTGTTCTAACCAGGGTTGTTACGCTTAAAATATATTTTTTTAAAAGTATGTTTAAAACAAGTTTTTATTGTTAAGTTTTTATTAACAAAATTATTTAAACATCAGTGGAATTCAACTGTATTAGATATACGATAAGACAATATATGTACGAATAATCAAAAAGCCCCAACTATTTCGGCATATGCTCCCAATGATTTTGATATTGAAAGGGTCGGTATATAGTAATAATGTAACCTTGTAGGGTAGCTAGCCCTCAATGCTTGTGTTTATTTCACATGTAACTATTATAATATCTGTTTTATACTTTTTTGACTATCTATTTCTGAAAAAACTTTATTGAATACTATAATTGAGAAATTTTTACAATCTTTGACTATTAAATAAAAATATTTTCTCTATTTTGTAATTACAATTAATGAATAATTTATAAAAATATTAGACTTATATTTTAAACGTTTTATTTAAACGTTAATATTACAATTCGATGAAAAAAATGTTTAAGATGATTAAAACAAAAAAAAAACACTTTAAAAATCAATTTTTTAAATAACATGTTTTTTTACAATCCTGGCTCTAATTATAGTAGTTTAAATACTTGCGATCGAAAATCAGATTTTTAAGTTGTTGATAAAAGTTGCAGAAGTCGACGGAAAACCACTGCACTTAAAATTTTCCACAGGGTAAACCAATTCAATTGATATTTAACCAACCTAATGGTTGTAAAAAAATTAATAAATTATAACATTTATGTAAAATGTGAAACGTAACGGAATTGTGTATATTACAACAAATGAATACTATATTTGCTAGTTAAGTATGGTATACAGAGAGTGTATAACATGCACTGTATTAACACCTTTTCTCTTAGTGAACTTCTTCATCCTGTTGTACGTTATCAGTCCTTGGTTACTTTTACAACTCAAAACTATAATATAAAAATAATGCTATGAATCTCAAATAGAGTTCAAAACTATTAATTCTAGAAGTTATAGTTACTTTGATAGAAATATTACAAAAATGAATAAAGATGCTTTTTGATTATTTTTATTTGTCATTTAAGAAAAACAAATAAATTTTTCTTTAATTAAAATTTGCTAAAGTAAATTAGATAATATTTCTATGTTTAAGTGTCTCATCACAAGTTGGTATATTTCATGTGATTTACAATATTATATGATTTGTATAATACTTGGATATACTTACACCAAGAGTAAAAAATTTGGCCTTGCAGTACTTGGATTTTTTTTGGTTGTATCATTAGGTTTACCATTTTATATAACTTACACGCAAAATTTAAATGGTCTTCTTAAAATAGATGTTCCGTAAGTAGCTTAGATATTCTATTTTATTATAATGTTAATTTTAATTAAATTATATCTACAGTGTAATTTATTAAGAATACTTCCTCTATAGATTCGTTAAACAATAATTTTTTTCATAAAAATAAATAAAATTTTATTCTAAATATACCTTCGCGTATATTATTATTGTTCTATGTTTATGGGTTTAGTTAGGTCCTTATTGAACAGTTAATTATCCCACTTCAAACAATTAAAATTGACTTCGTATTTTATATTGTATATTATACTTTCTTACTCGTGTGATTTAACATTTGTTTTTTTTTGTTAGACTTACATAACATTTTTCACAGCTTTGGAATTGTATTTTATAATTTCCTGATTTGTCCTTCTTCTATTTTATGTTTTGGGTTTTACAATATACCTTTTAAATTATTACTCTCAAAAATGACTAAAGTAATCTTGAAATTTTAAAAATCTTATATAGTTCATTTGAAACTATAATAATATTATATAGACAACCTAATTACTCTATTTTTCTCTTCACTCGTTAGTGTACTGTTTGGCCTAATTTCTTTAATTCACTTTTGTATTTTTACTAATTTTAAAATTGAGTTTTGATCATACCCATTAAATCTAGCTACTTCTTGTATAATTCCCAGTTCTTCTTGGAACACTATTTTACTCGTCGGAATATTTAAATGTAGTATTTATTTTATAATTTCTCACGTAATTAAAAGATTTTCTTTAAATTTTCAAAAATAAAATTTCTTAAATAAAAAATGTAAAATTGAGAACTAAGAATATTATTGTGTCTTTAAAGTTGAATCCTTTAAATATTTTTATATAGCTTTTTTTTACTAATCCAATTTTTTTTTAGATTTTTGTCAAATCCTAGAAGTTCAGTTTTATACAATAAAATTTATACACCGGTTTATTTTAGAGCTATTCCATTTTTAACCGGTTTAGCCACGTCATTTCTTTTAGAAAAGTTGAAGGAAACCAAATTTAAAATGTCCTATGTAAGTCAAATAAAAAAACTACGTGATTAATTAGTTGTTTATTATTCTATATTTTTTAAGACATTAGTTTACATTGGAACTTTAGTTGTTACGACAGTTTCTATGTTAGCCCAATTTTATGGAGTGAAATTCTACGAAAGGAACAGGCCATACAGTGCGATAGAAAATGCTTTGTATGCTAGCATCTTCCATTGCACGTGGCCTTTAATTTTATCTTGGATTATCATTTCTCAATTAACTACGGGATATGGTAATTAAAATCAACATGCATATGATTATTAATGTTCCAAATTATTTCATAATTAAACAGGTCCATTAATAAAATTACTTAGTAATCGCTTTGTTGTACCACTGGGCAGGCTTTCATACTGCGTATACCTGGTAAATTTAATTGTTATGATTATTTCGACAGGATCAGAAAGGACAGTTACGCACAGCTCTTTCAACAATTTGGTAAGTATTTATTACAATATTAATGTATAGAAAAAAATAATCATTTACATGAATATTTACTTTAAAGTCTTTTTTGATTTTGTTTATATTAGATCGGTTAAAAAAATAAACAAAATTAAAACAGGTTTTAATACAAGTACATACAAGATGTAATTAGTTCAATACAAGGCTAGAAATACTAAAGATTTGGGTCCAAATCTTAAGTGTTTCCTTTTACTTAATTTTATATATAAAAATGTAATTTATGTAATATTCATATTTGAAATTATAATTTTTTAAACTTTGTACTCAATAAAAACCCGAAATGATTAGTAAGCCTGTGAAAAAATCACACATTGAAATACAAATAATTATTCGCATCTCAATTGAATAACGTTTTAATATTAAAAATGTCAAACATAAAAATTGGGCTCTCTGAACTGTATGATGTCTTTAAATTGTTTCAAAAACTGAAATCTGATAATATTAATCATTAGAATATCACAGATGTTACGTTTTTTGACAATTTACATGGATTTACTAGTAATAATTTAATTTTAATGTTATTAAAATAATTTTTATTTTATTTGTATACACATGAATTATTAGATAAATGCTTGGATATACGATTCTATTAAAAGTTATTTGTTTGCCGCTATTTTGTATTTGATTATCGATGAGCCATTTTCACACTTCATAAGAATTGCGTTTGGAAGACAGTAAGTAAACAAAAAGTCAGAATAGTTGTAGAAAAAAACACCAAGAGTTAAAAATAAAAATTATAGTTTCACTTTATTGATATTTGCTGCACGTATTTTTAAATTAAAATTAGTTCATTTTTAAAAAATCATACACATTATTCAAATATACATATCTACAAAATATTATGATGTATACACTGTAATTTTACAATCTTGAACTACTTAATAATGTATTATTGAAGGGCATTTTCAAATATTTTAAACTATCGAATAGTTTTTTTAATTTTTGAATGACTATCGAATATTTCCATTGTTACTATTTGATATTTCGTACCATTATTAATTAATCTAATAATACAAAAAATATTGAGATTATTTTTGAGCTCTTTTATTTACACGTTTATTTCAATATTTCAATAATGAAGCAGTTTTTAATAAAACCACTAACGTATGAAAATTGTATTTTTCATTAAAATTTTTGAAACTATTTCGGCGGAACGTTTGCATTCTATAAATCAATATCAAATTATAGTTCTTGAAAAATACTTAATGTGCAAACAAATTTGTCTCGATGACCTTCCTTTAGTAGAATTTGGCTGCCAAAGCAAAAAAAAAACTGAAATTATTTTTTGTTAAAAATAATTCATTATTTTCAATTATTGAAAATTTTTTGGGATTTTTGCGTTCTTAAAACGTAAACTAAATTAAAGATTTTTATGAATACTTTATGGTGTAAATAAAAAACATCCCAACGTTATTTTTCTATATTATTCTTGTTTTTCATTTTGATAATAACCGGTACGTCTGCATTTCCGTAATTAATTTTACCACAAAATTTTTTTCTTGAGTGTTCCCTCTTTAACGCTATTATTTATTTATTTATTTTACCCTTCATAAATCATATTTTCCTAATTTATAAGGTACCGGTAATTTTCTATTACTATAACAGTAAATAATTATTATTTATTACTATTTTATATAATTATTAGAACAATTTTGAAAGTAATAAAAGAAATTTTAAATGTTTTTTATTGACTTAAAAATTGCTTGTATTTTTTTAGGAAAAAGCCAGTAGCATTAAAAATAGATGGCACGCAAAATGAAAATTTACCATTGAATTGAACTTCAGACATTACATCAACCAAACTAGATTGACATTGAATAGCTCATTAAATTAAATATGCATAAGATAACTTTTAACATGAAAATGATGTTGTATTTAATAATATAGCTTGAAATATTAAAAACACTATCAAATTGATTTTTATGTTTAATAATGATTGTAGCTTCGATGCAAAGCTGTAAAGGTATTAATTTTACTATGGTGTGTTTTTTTTTGTCTACTACCACTTTTTCTCAGCTCTTACCGAACCGATATTTTTTAACAATACGTCAAAAGATCATAAATTGTATCTAATCAAAGACATTACTTTTAAAAATTGAAAACATTTTCCTCGTTCCCCGTAAATGGGGGAAATTTCCAAAAAAATTACAAATTTTAAAAACCCTAATTTTTGATTTTTTTTACTTAAATCTGCCATAACTATTTTAAAACTGACCAAACAAACATAATTTTTTTTTATATATATACAAAAGATATTTACCTATCATTCTATATATTTTTTTTATAAATCTGACACTTTACCTGTCTATTGGAGGGGATTCAAAAAGACATCTTTTTGACAAAAAATTAACTTTTTCAACTTAACTATTGAAAGTATTCCGGAAATACTAATACTTTTATATACATCTTAAATTAAAGTTTATATAATATACTTTAATATGAAAAAAAAATGTTCGGACTTTATTTTGTTTACATGGTTAAAACTGACATCAAAGTTAATAAAAAAAATACGATTTTTGTAAAAAATTATTTTTTATATTTTAAACTTTATAATGAAATGTTCACTACTTTTCCATTCTATTTTTCCTACTAACCGATTTTTTCATCAAATTTTTTTTTTCACAATTATTTTTTGTTCCAATGGTTGCCATAATAATTTTAGTTCATTTGTTAATATTTTTTTTTCAATATTTAAATTCAATTAGAACCTCAAATTGTGTAGTTGCTAAATTTTTTGTAATCAGTAGTTGTAAAATTCGAAGTTAATTAAAATCTTTAGTAAAAATAGTCATGGAACTAATATATAGAGTTACGAAACATCCCTTTCTACACAATGATGGGTTTTTGTATACGAGATCTACTGAAAAGAATGGTAGAGTTTTTTGGAAGTTTCGGAAATAACCGGAATGTTGATCCCGTGTTGTCACTCGTTCATGTTCGCAACTTATAATAAAATAAAATAAATATCGAATTTTTTTACAAAAATAGTTATGTCAAATAATAAGAAATTCATCAAAAACATCCTAATAAGTAGGTAAATGAATTAATTTTTGTTAGTGCCTGTTAAGTTTTATTAAATTCGATCACTGTCTATGACTTGACTATTTCAAAACTATTCCAAAAGCAACATAATCTCCTATTTCTTTATTTATATCCTGATTACAAGTTTTATGATTTATTATAATAATAAAATATAGTATGAAATTGATATTTAATAACTTAGTATTGTAATTATTACGGAGAAATTATAAAAAATGATTAACTAGTTATTACTTATATATCAAACGTATATAAAAGTAAAAGGTCTTAATGTAATACTTTTAGCTTCGATGCGAAGCTGAGAAGGTATTGGTTTTACTAAGTGTTAAAAAAGTAATAGCATTATAAAGTTAAAAATTCAGAATTTTAACACAAAAATAGCATACAATGGCCATTTTCATCGTGAAGACAATATAAAGTCCGAAATTTTTTTTTTTCATAATACAGTATATTACATAAGTTTTAATTTAATATATATATATATATATATAAGTGTCAATATTTCCGGAACACTTTCAAAAATTAAATAAAAAGTTGTCATTTTAAATTGGTAGGTAAAGGATCAGATTAAAAAAAAAAATGACCAAATGATAGGTTAATATGTAATATATCTATTAAAAAATTGTATTGTTCAATACATTTTTCAAAAAATTAAGTTTTAAATTAAAAAAATGTAGAAAATAAGTGATTTTTTAATTTTTAAGATTTTTAGAGATTTCCCCCATTAATGGGGAACGAGGAAAACTTTTTCATTTTTTGAGGGTAATATCTTCGACTAGATACAATTTGTGATCTTTTGACGTATTGTTAAAAGATATCAGTTCGGTGAGAGCTGTGAAAAAATGGTAACAGGCACAAAAAAACATATTATAGTAAATTTAATACCAACTCAGCTTCTCATCGAAGCTAATATACTTTATTACTTTCTATTATTAATCATTTATAAAAGTAAGATAGTAATTATTATTTATACCAATAATTTATTTACTTACAAAAGTAATTAAAAATATATAATTAATATTTTCTATAATTTTTTAAATATTATTTAATAAATAACATTTAATCGTTATTCATTATTGGTAACTTACTTATTTCATTATTAATAAAAATAAATATGATTACTATAAATAATGAATATTATCTAAATTTATTTTTATGTATAAGTCTAATAATATAAATAATAAATTATATTTATTACTTATTTTATTTATATTAAAATATAAATATTATTTATATTATATGCACTTATTTATTTTAATTAATATAAAAAATGAATTCAAAAAATAAATAAATTTAATTAAAATGTTATACAAAATATGTGTAGAATTTTTTTCAAAAATTTAAGTATTATTGTTTAAAGTTCATTAATTAATTTCATTTAATATTTATTCAATTGTTCCTTTTTTTTTTATTCTCAAAAATTGGTATTATTAAGTTATTTATATACATCTAGTGAATGAAATCAACTAATTATAAATTTGTATACATTAGTAATAAATAACTGTTATTAAAATTGTGTGATCGGTTTTACTTCCTTCTATTTCCTGAAATTAACATACTACAGAGTATGATGGCCCCATTTACATGTTAAGGATTCAAAGAAGATTTCTGACTAGGCCAATGATGAATAGGACTGGTATTATGCAGCAGAGACCAGACTAACCAATGAGAAAATCACAAAAAAATTTTTTTCGGCATCCTAAGACTTGAACACGGGACCCCGTGTGCTGAAACATACGTTTCTACTCATTGGACTAGGCCAACTTTATTGTTATTAACAGAAAATACATTAATAATTATCTTTTGACAATAAAATTTTCTACTTGAGGCTAAAATCTAAAATCATAGATCACTACACGACAGAAATATATTAATTTTTAATATTGTGGGTGGTGTAATTTTATTAATTTTTTTATTTATCTAGGAACGTCTGTTATTTTTAATCCACTTTGTCCAATGTTAACTTTATGTTTTATGGTAGGCCGCAAAACAGAAATAAGGTTATAAAAATTTGCATACTCACTCGAAATAATTACATATTTCCGACATTTTCAATGCTCTAAGAATTATTAATAATAATTCTTTGTGAATCATTAGAATATTGAAAAGGTATAGCTTTTTGAAAAGAAGGTTAAAAGAGTGATTTTTTCATTAGACATAATATGTATCTCAAAAATTGAATAATTGGAAAAAAATTTAGATATTACTTTTAGATAAGTAAAAAGATTTTCTATGACCAATATTTAGAATCCTGATTAAATCTTTGCCGAATTATATTGTCTACAAACATAATTTATGAGAAAAATAATACATTGAAACATTTCATGACCGTTCGTATTCAAAATTAATTACCGCATACTGTAACTCGTATAATTACATAACGACTTTATATCTACTATTAGATTTCCAGTCGGTAAATGTATTATATTTTACTGTATTGTAAAACAATATTCAAAGCCCACATTTAATATTCTTACTAAAATGTCAATAATAGCGTGATGTACTAAAATATTATTAAAATAAACTATTTAACCTTCATATCTTTTAAAAATACGTCATATACCTTAATTTGTATGCATTAATCGAATAACTACTCAGTGGAACACTAAAATGTCCGAACTTACAAATTATCTATTAGTTTTACCACGTGTATTCATTTTACCGACAAAACTATCATTATCCATGACTTAATGTATATATAGCGACCATACTGTTCAAGGCGTGTTATGTAATGTTATACAATATTAATATTAAACATTATAAAGTTATAAAAATGAATAAAAATCTCTATAGTATCCCACAAATTACTTGATAAATTAACTACACGTGCTCATAATCTTACTTTATCAAAAAAATAAAATATTCAGTGTAAATATAATTGAACACAAACGCTGCCTTAAAACACACTTCAAACTATATTTTAAATAATATTTGATACCCAAACAAACTACATAAAATGACTGTTTAAAGATACTCAATTTAACAACAACAAAAATTGACTATCTTTATAAATTATTTTTCTATTATTATAATAGAATATAATCACTAGAAAAAATTAAAATAATAATAATAATAAAGTTCGATTATTCTGACCCTAGTTAGTTAATAATAATTTCAGTTATAAGACTGAAATTATAGCTTATAATAAACCATTAGTAGCTAGAATATTTCTTTTTAGAAATAGCAGCGTCCTTCCTCTTAATATACTAATAAAAATATTAATAAGGTTGTAAGAATGTATGGGTATTTTGACCAAGGTGGATGTATGGGGATTTGGTCAAATTGTGAGCAACAAGGTTCTATCGGGGTTGTAGAGTCCGAGGGTTTACAACAACAAAGACAAGTAGATATCAAAATTAATTAACGCAAAATTCTTTGCAGAGGTGTAATAAAGTACAGTCTGGTTGGTATCTAACAATATGCACAAGGGCAACGGAACGACAGGCCAGTTCACGGATACAATGTAAAGTGACTATGTACAAGACCTTAACCAACCAATCTAGTATAATATTCTACAATATTAATATAATGAATTATCTATTGTTTCGTCGTTCTCACTCAGATTTATTAACTCTAAATTTTTGGGATAATATAAATTTACTTGCTTTTTTTCGCAACAATGAATTGTAACTCAAAGACAATTCGACAATCCTTCTGATATATAGAGGTATTAAATTCGTACCTTGTCACAAAATAATAAGTCAAAACAAATTATTTTCGTATGTATGTAAGCAAGACGCATAAAAAGATAGCCGACAACAACACGGGGTCGTGGCTAAAAATTGTTTTTTTTAATTTGAATTCGGCGAAAACGAACTGGAGTCTGAAAGGACTTCAGTGCTTTTTTATAGTGTATGGTAGTACCCTCAATCCAGGGATATTGTTGTCAGAGCTTTTAGTGACCTTTTTAGTTTATTGTATTTAAATATACATTACATGGTTATTATATTGAGATAGCATATTTAACAATGGATAAATTGACATATATATATATAAATAATAAGAAATTGTGTACATGTTATGACAGATAAGTTATTTGTTTGTTTACAAGTAATATAAAATACAGATTACAAATTTTTGATTGATAAATGTAAGATGCGTAAAGCAAAGCATTGGACATATTACGACATCCACCCTAATTTTTTAAGTGTTGTGTCCTCACAATTAAAGTTTAATATAGTTAAATAAATTGAATAAATATAATAAAAATATTGTATAATAGTAGTTGATTAATAAATTTAGTATTTATGATATATAATGATTAAAAATTATTAATGTGAATATTAAATATTAGTCGATAATATAATAGTTAAAAGTTAATAGCATGAGCAATTGCATTTGAAAAATTTAAAAAAATTATAGAATACATAAAAAATAATAGTATGATAGTGTATAAGTATGTATAGTGGCAAATATAATATTAAAATATAAGACAACATATAACTTTTGTTTACATTTTTCACATTTATGTAAAAATAATAGCAACAAGACTAATTAAAAAAATTGCGTAAAAAAAAATATATAATGTTGTCTGAAAAATCATCATTCTGGTTTTTTTCATATTTAGTAATAGTCATTAAAAATAATAACGTTTTTCGTTCTTCTAGAATTTTGCCCTTTGTAATTTAAATTTATTGCTATTCGGTTCTGTACATGATAATTATAAAAGCGCTGTTCAATGTAGAAATCAATGATTTTTCTTTTTATTTAGACTTGACATTTTTAGTTTATTTAGCTGTATGTTTCTTTTAAAGCAACCAATGTCAAAATCAATTAAATTTTGCAAACACACATAGATTATTTTAATTTATTTTTCTTCATATGTACCCAACCGGTATTATATGAGAACTTGATTCCTTGGTTTTACTGATAATTAGAATTCCGAAGTCTTCATCTGGTGAAGCTGATTCGTCATTGCTGAACTAATTATTTTAATTGGGCATATTATGACAGCACATAGAAGATAGGTCGTCATAATAGATATAATAAGATAGTGGCGTGCAAGGGCACAAAACCTTTGAGCACAAGGGTCTAATAAACATATAATAAAAACTATGTCGTATAACGGCCGAACAATTTACTATTTGAGCAAAGGTGCTTGCTACGAAAAAGATGACACATAAAACAATTGACTTACTGATGTGCAATGATGAACTGTAAACGGATGACAATTGCATGGAGATCATCGATTTGACGTGCCGAGTGGGCAAGGGAGTGAGTAAAGCAGAGACACTAAAGATCACGTGATATAGTAAAAATAGAGCCAAGTTTAAAACTTACTTGCACCTATAATTTACTGTTTTGTACAATGCAATAATGTTAGCGGTATTCATTTATAAATCCGTTATTATCATTAGTAAATTGTTTATATTAAAAAATTGTCAGACGTTTAAAAATAAAAACTAAATTTACGTACACGATTTTACTTTTGAACTCATATACACTTTAATAAGTTTCTGTATAACTATAGTTCATATACAAAACAAAACGCATTATTATTAATTGATAAAAAAAATGTGCGCTTTATTCACAAAAATGCTTCTTATCATAAAAATAATGGTTAAATTAATAAAATAAATAAATATTCTAATACATAAACTACAAAAATGATGAAAGTAATAAAAAATTATATTTGTATTAAAATTATTTTTTAAGTTTCAAATAATCAAGACATTTAGATAGATGAGATTTTTATCAAATGTTCTTTTACCTAAGTATCATAATTAATATTCTTAAATATTTAGAGCATGATGGAGCAAGTTGACACCCTTAGGATTTAATTAAGTTTCTTAAAAAAAGTGTTCACCATAAAAAACTTGAAATTTGGTAAAAATACTAATTGATATATTGAGACAAATTAGTAAAAAGCTCATTTATTATATGAATTTAAAAATATTTTTCAATTTATTTATGTTATTTTATGAAAATACACGTCTCGTTTTATCAATAAATTTTAATTCAACTGGTATAATATATAAATTGGATTACAATTTGTACAGTATACTTTGTAAAATATTCTATATATTTGCTTCAATAGAAATAAATACACAATTTATGTGTAAATACACAAAAGTCATATTACATTAGAACTTCAAAAAATATATATATATAAAATTAATTATAGTGTATTCAACTCAATAGGTAAAATTGATATGGCTCCGTAAACTAGCTAAAATGTTCAAATAATAAGACTAATGACATGATTTTTGTTTAATAAATTTGTTAAATCACTTCTTCTACTGTAGAGTAAAATCATACTTTAAGAAGTTTTACTTTATTATGTACATTTTAACTGAAGAGTTCAGTTATGTAAAAAAAAAAGACAAGGTCATTGACTAAACTATTTTGAGATGACTAATTATTATAAGATTGTCTGAAACTGGAGAGCCTAATCAAAACGCCTTCAGTTACTAGTTAATTGTACATGTTATAACAACTGACGAATCAACTAAAATTTTCTTTTAAACCTATTATAATTTATTTCAGTCTAAAATGGCTTGGCAGATAATAAGCATATTTTTAATAATGATATTACTACTCATCGAATTAAACGTATCATTATCACAAACTTTAAATGCATCATTTGCTCAAAATCAAAAGGATTCCATAGACACTTCAATATCAAAAAATGTATGGAACATAAGTTCAGTTAACAATGAAATCCCATCGTCACAAATAGCTGACTTATTTTACAAGGCTTTCGCTAACTTTACTGTTAGTCGAACTAACAACTCTGCATGTCGCATTCAAACAGAATTATATATCAAGCATTTAAAAAATCATTCATACTGGGCCACACAAAGTAAGTCAATATCCTTAAGTAACAGTTAATAGAGTGTTAGAGACATAAAATGTGCTACCAAATAGTAAAATGTATTAAATAGAAATCAAATCTAAATTTATCAGTATAGGCTCTGAAATACCAACTCGTAGTACTTTTTGTTTTAATCTTCTGGAATAGAAAATATTTCAATAGTTTAAAGTTAAAACAATAATGGTACAATATTATTATTGATATATTCATTTAAAAAAATTATTTTCAAGTTTTTTTTTATAACTTAAATATTTTACATGTATTTCAAATATTTATATTTTATTAAAAAAAATATAATGTTAAATATCAATAAATATTACTTTAATATTAGTAGGAAAAAAATGATATGAAATATTTCAAAATTAACAATTACAAATATTTCAAAGAAATTGTAAGTAAAATGATAGAAATTACTGTAAACAAATATAAATACTGTATATAATTTATGACCAATTTTTTAACTTCACATTTTTATATTAAACTCTTTGAATGAATATTTGATCAAGACTATTTTAGTAAGTTTATCAATATTATAAAAAATGCATTTTAGTAATATATTCACAAGAAAATTTCATACTTATTTTAGCTTTAATTCGAAGTTGAGAATGTATAGGATTTTTGATGGTTGATTTGATGCCTGTTTATGAAACTTTTAAGTACTCTCTGGTTCACTTTTAAGTAAAAATAAATCCAAATTCAATCTAATTAAACTTATCAGCGCCAAAACTTTTAAAAAATCTCCCACATTTTAAAGAATATATCAAAATTGCACTATAGTAAAAATTTCAAATTTTCTATAACAATTTTCATAAAATCTTGATCCTAATAAAACTTTAATAGTATTTAATAGATACATTAATCTTCTTTTTGATATAGTTTTTGTTAAAATCTGATCAAAATATCTAATTACAGGAAGAGTTTCAACAGACAACCACGAATGTAAAAAGTTTTTTTATCAAATCAGTTTTTGAAAATTTTCAGAATTATTAACAAATTTTAACCTATATTAAGAAAATCGCATAAAGTGTACAAAAAAAAAAAAATAGTTATACTGTTAAAAAGTAGGCGATAAAGAAAAAAATGACATTATTTTCAATTTTTGAAAATGCTCTTATGAGTTCAAACGCATATTGCATGATATAACAAATAATTTAAAACGCTAATGAACACTGTCAAATATCATCTATACTTCTCCCAACTATTCCACGTATTTTGTATTAACAATTTTAAGATGATTAAATGCTTTAACATGTTACATGGTATTTGAATATACATACAATATAACATCATATATTGAATATATGATGGGAATGATACTATAATACTATTATTATAGTAAATTGACTGATTTTAAAGAGATATTATAATTTTATATGAGAATTTTGACCATTTTATTTTCTGGTAACATTACTACAATATTTTAGAATCATGTAAGAACTATATGAAAATATTTTCACAAAAACTTGGTTTAGAATTCAATATTTTTTTTAAATGTTGTAAATGTTAATTTGTAATCTTACCAAACCTTATGTTTGGATGACGTATATAAATATATTTGAGAGGAGAATTAAAATTAATATAACATTTCTAAAATTTAATAACTATAAAAAAATGGTTAATAAATATCAAATTTTGGACCATTTTTTCATATTTTTTTAATCGTTTCAAAATCTTCGAACTGAAATCGAATACATTATTTAGATTATTTATATATATTATATATTTATAGAAATGTATGATACTGTTATATTTTTTTCACTAATTAAGAATTCTAGGTTAATTAAAATTTAACTAATAAAGGATGCTAATAACTTGAAGAAATGATTATTTATTTACAAATTTGCTCATTAAAAACTATTTAAATATTACTATTGCTTCATTATTAGACAAAAGGTAATATTTTATTTTTCTCTTTATTTCAGTTAAAAACTCGTTAAATAAATTTCTAATCAACTACCAATGTACTATTTGTGAATTCAAAAGTTTGTGTAAATAAAAAAAATTATTCATAACTATTACGTACTACCATTTATACGTGATAGAAAAGAATTATACTCTTCAAATTTGAAAAAGTTTTCCATAACAATGTACAGATTAAAATTTGCATTATTTTTATGAACCATTGTAAATATCAAGTGAATTGTAAGAAAAACTTATTTCTAAGGATAAATTAGGGGTTAACTATCGAAAATATTTAATAGAGAATGAACTAAATGAAATTTTGGCTGATTGATAACCAGTTTTGAATAATTACTTATAAATAAGAATTATTCTACGTAGCAATCTCCTTTTGGCTATTACTAAAAATTATAGTGATTAGAAAAGTAACAACATAAAACAAGTTATCAGCCAGTTAAAATTTTATTTAATTCATTCTCCAGCTATTGTCTAACTTGCGAAAGTTATTCTTAAGATCTATCTTTAGAAATAATTTTTTCTTACAATTGACTTAATATTAACTATGGCTTACAAAACTAATGCAAATTTAATGTGTACATTTTTATGGAAAAATCTTTCAAAAAAAAAAAAAACAAGGGATGGTATTCATAATAAGTCATATTCTACAAATCATAATTAGGTATTAAATTTTATTTTCAAAAATGCCTTAAACAGAAGTATAAATCACAAAATTTATCTTTTTATAATTTATAAAAATATTAAGGACATCAAAATTTATTGTCTCCCAACTATTATTAATAGAGAAAAATAGTTTATATGAATACATTCATTACTGTGTGTCAAGTCTTTAGATTATTATTTTTAGTATTTTATAAAGTACTTGAAAATTATATTTTCAATTATTTAGTATAATCTTACAGTGGCAGATTCATGGAGTCGTTATCCTACTGGAATATTAGTCGGAAACAATTATCAAATGGGTGTTTATGACGAATGTACAGATGTTAAATTTCCTATTCGTGGTCAATATTGTCTATCAGATATAACACTATATACTTCTTCATCATCTAATCATTCTATCGACATCCAGAATGCTTACAATGCTTATAATAATTCTTGGGATCAAATACTTAGAGTATGACAACTGTTTAATTATAAATATTTTATTTTATGTATTTTATTTATACACGTCTGCAGATTTTTAAAATTGAATCAAATTTTGATGCTTATATTTTACTTAAAAAATCAAAGCATTTCAAAATAACCATTTTGTCGAATGAATCAAAAAATAAAAATTTGTAACAAAATATTATATTAATGTTTTTTAATTGGATTTCTCAAGCATTTCAAAGTTTGACATTTATTCTTGTGTATATTTTATACGATAAAAATCGATAATCATCTTATAAAGAAGAGGATAGAAGTATGTGCGATAATTGCATAATAAATGTTGATTGTAGGCATCGATTTTTTTCCATTAAAATTTATCTTTACTTGAATGAGCGTTTACCTAAATGAAAAACATTTAATATTATTATTATGGACAGACTTAATTATAAGTTTGTAAATTTGATTTATTATATGTATTTATGAATGAATTATTAACTGTTTTTTTACATTTGACATTATCTACTTGTACATACTTGTACATACTTATTAATATTATAAGTACGGTTACATTACAATACTTTACAAAAAGTAATGTAAAAATATGTAGCTCTAAATTTATTTTAAATAAACTTTATTAAATAATTTTTTTAATATTTCAGTAAACCTATAAATAATAATAAATAAAAATTATTTTAAGTAATTTATATGACTTCATTATTCAATTATTATTTTTATTTTAACAGCAACTATTAGAATCAAATTATAAAATATTAATTTTAGTATCCCCTACAAAACATCATAATGGAAAAATGACTTACTTTTTAATACACAAAAAGTTATTACAATTGACAATTTATTTGATTTAATAATTCATAAAGGTTTACCTAAACATTAGTTTTTTAACAAATCATCAATCATTAAACTAACACAAAATTGTTGTATTTTTCAACTAATATTATCGCTATCAATTTTATCATTGAAAAAAATGTATGACTACAATCAATTTTAAGTGTAAAATAATAGTATATACATAATAGCATGTACTTTTATACTTTATATCAAATCGTTGATACCATAAATTACACTCGGAAAAATTAAAACACTTTCAAATTTTGAAACTGTCTAGAAATTTAAATATAAAATCTTAATGATAGATTTTGATACTAAATTGTTTCTAAAAGATATATTCAACGAAATGATTGTTTTAAAATGTTTTTAATTATTTTATGTACTTTTAAATAAATTTAAAAAATATCACTTATTATTTTACAAATGGTTGAATTTATATCTTTTAGACAATAATTTATAATTATTTTAAACACACATGAAGTAAAAGTAATGAAATGTTTAATTATAGTGGGTTGAACATCCAAATCAAATGCCTCGGAATAATTTAAAATTTGGTATTTGTGTACCAGAATCTTGCAAAGCCTTGGACGTTCAAAATTCCTTACAATTTTCACTGGATCAAGTGTTCTTTCCAAAAAAAATAAAAGCTATTGCTTTTGTTGACCCTATTCTGTGTTCTATAAGCACAGATTTATATCCTTATACAACAGGTTATTATTTAACAAGGTACATGTTATTATAAATTTTAAATTTTGTAATTAATTATTTGTACACCACTAAAAACAAGTAGAACATTTTTCATTTATATAAATAATAAATTGAAAATTATATAATTTTAGTGCAACATTTTGTGTGTTATGTTTAATTTGTTGTATGGCTACATCAGTTCATTTCATTTCTTTGTTCAAAAAAGAAAACAAGAAGAACGCAAGTAAGAAAAATCTATTATCATTTATTCAGTAAAAATTTATAAATACAGATAATACCCCTTTTTTGGCCGACCCCAAGTAGTTGGGATTAAGGCGAGGGTTTAGAAGATGAAGAAAACCTTTTTTTACTATAAATATTTTTTTTTATATCTAGCGTTTGAATTTATTAAGCATAATAACATTTGGATGATAACATTAAATTACACTTTTATAGTTTTTAATTTGTCTTTAAACTACTTAAATGAGAAAATCAAACTATAATCAATTTTATATTAAATTTTATGACTTTTTTTGGTCAATATTTATTAAATATCACCAATAAGATATATAATTGTATAAATAAAAACTGCTATACTTTTATATGAAAATTTGGGAAAAGGTAATAGATAAGAGAATGAGAAATGAGACATCGGTAACTAAAAACTAGTTTGGATTTATGCCTGGTAGGTCAATAATGGAGCCAGTATTTCGTGTGAGGCAACTAATAGAAAAGTTTAGGGAAAAGAAGAAAAAGCTGTCTATAGTATTTATAAATTTGGCGAAAGCGTATGATAGAGTACTGAGAGAGGTTCTAAAGTGGACATTATTAAAAAAAGGAGTCCCGAAAAGGTACATTAATATAATAGAAGATATGTATAATGGCACTTGTATTAGGGTAAAAAGCGTGAAAGGAGTAACGGAAGATTTTAGAATAAGAGTAGAAGTGCATCAGGGTTTTGCTTTAAGCCCTTACTTATTTTCTATAGTGATGGATGAAATTACTAGAGAAATATAAGGAGAAGTGCCATGACTCATGTTGTTTGCTGACGATATAGTGTTAATAGGAGAAAATAGGGAGGAAATTAATCAAAGGCTAGAGGTATGAAGTTCAGCTCTTAAAGAAAAGGGTTTAAGAATAAGTAGAAATAAGACAGGGTATATAGAGTACGAGTTTGACAAAAGAGAACACAAGGTAGGTGAAATGAGGAGATGAGCGACAATAGGCGAGGACATGATTGGAGAGGTTTTAAGTATTTAGGGTCAGTTGTGCAAAAGAGTGGTGGTATTGACGAGGATTTAAGACACAGGTTTAAGTGCGGGTGGTTGAAGTGGAGAAAAGCGTCTGGAGTCTTATGCAATAAAAGAATTCCAATGAGGCTGAAAGTAAATTCTACAAGACTGTAATAAGGTCAGCTATGATGTATGATTCAGAGTCTTAGGCGATTGATAAGAAAGTAGAGCAGAGAATGAGTGTAGCAGATATGAGAATGCTTAGATGGATGAGTGGAGTGACTAGAAAAGATAGAACAAAGAACGAGTATATAAGAGGGAGTATAGGTGTAGCGTCAATCGTGGATAAGATGAGAGAAAATAGATGGTTTGGTCATGTTATGAGGAGAGAAGAATCAGAAACTGTAAGAACAATTATAGAAATGAATGTTGAAGGAAGAAGAAGTAAAGGAAGACCAAATAAGAGATGGAGGGATGCTATTGAATGCGATTTGAGGACAGCTGATGTGATCATAGATGACGTGGGAGATCATGTCAAATGGAAATTTAGGATAAGGCTAGCCGACCCCAAGTAGTTGGGATTAAGGCGAGGAAGAAGAAGAAGAAGTTTTACAAATTTTTTTAAAAAATTATGGGCAACAATATGATTAACTCATATGTAAAAATTCCACTGTCAATATGTTTTAGGTAATGATGAGGTAATTTTCAAAAAAATAATTTCGGAAATTTCCGGAGATATTGTTATTTTTTTGTATTTAATTTTTAATTTTTAATATATAAAGCAAATTACAGTTCCAAATAATAACTATAATGCACTCATAAATGTTTATTTCCAATATTAATTATATTTTTAATTTTTAATTAATTTTTATTATAAGAGAAATGAGTAAGAATAGCCCAGAAATGCGTTCAGACTTTAGGTCTATTGTACTTCTACAATAATTTTGAATTTAATGTATTTTTTACTTAAAAAGTCGAAGAGAGAGTTGGACAGGACATGCGTGGAGAGCAAGAGATAGGCTTATATATGAATTATCAGTATGGAGGCCTTATGGAACGAGACAAAGAAATCGCCCAAGAGATACTAAGTTAAGAAGGATTTTAAGATGTTAAACATTGAAAAAAATAATAATTAGCGATGGACAGAAAAACATGTAAAGATGTTATGTAAACGACAATAATGCACATTACTAGTTTTAGGACAGCATAAAAACTATAAAATAAAATAATAGATAAATAAAACTTGTATTTGAGTAACAGGACAATTACTGATTGTTAAAAATTAATATTTAATAAGTTATGACCGTTAAAAATGTTATTTTTTAATTTTATGCCAATTGCTACGCTTAAATTTAAATGTATACTACAAATTATAAATTACAGTAAAATATGGTGGAGGTATTTTTTATAAGATTCTTTTTTTTAATTTTAGCATTTACTTAAAAAGACACATAAAACTGCAATAACCTGAAAAACATCATTTTTGCTTCAAAGTTATTATTATGTGTGCTGAGGTAAAAAGATTTCTTTTAATATTGTGTTAAAAATTTCCATTATACTGGTTTTAAAGTTATCATCTACTTAGATCATTTTCTTGTTAGTAAGTCAGTTAAATATGTAATATTTAACTGACACGCTGCATTAAAAAAATTTATATATAATATTACAATTTATCAACCTTTATTCATCTTAATTTTCTTAAAACTTTGTATAGATAAAAGCAATGGAATATTACATTCGTTTTCTTTTATAAAAAATGGCAAGGAATTATTATCATATGACAAAGACAACATTTTGAATATAATGAACGGTTTCAAATTATTAATCATGATATTTTTATTATTTGGACATCGATATATGTATATGGTCGGTATGCCCTTAAGCTATCCTAAAGATTTAGAAACAGTAAGTTTCAAGCATAAAATAATTTATTTTTATATGTTATTTATCTAATATTGTTTTTATTAATTCATTTTTCAACTGTGTCATTCCATACTCAAATAAACCTAATTAATGAAGTAGCTTTAAAATAATATTTATTTCAAATGTATGTTCAATGTAATTCATGAACTGTGCATCTTTTATTTCACTGAAAAATTTAGCGTAAAACAGAGAAGAGTGGCTTTAACTACAAGGCATTGCCTTTAATAGATTGTGATTAGTTCAATTTATCAAACTATTATATTTATATACATTTTTTTAAACTTTCAATGCATATGTAATAATACAACTACTTTATTTTAATTAGAATATTTATTTGTGATATTTCTTTATACATTTTTTATAATGTAAATTGCTTATAAACATTTTTCCAGACTTACACTGATGGCCCAGACATTTTATTAACTAGTATGAATTTAGTTGATCCATATTTTTTTATGAGTGGTTTTTTAGTATATACAATGCTATATTCTACTTTATCTGGTAATGGATCTTTCTCCTACAAACTGTTTATACCAATAATTTATAGAATAATAAGGTAAATTGTATTCACCACCTTTGCATATCTAAATCTTTTTAAAATATTCCATGAAACTTCTTTACAGAATGATGCCAGGGTATATTGCCGTAATAGTTTTCACTGCTCAATTACTACCTCACTTTGGTGACGGACCGTTTTGGAAGCAAAAAACATGGGATGAAGCAAATATATGTAAAGACTACTGGTGGACAAATATATTATTTATAAACAACTTTATTGACGTTAAATATCAAGTAAGAGTATTTTTCTAATTTAGTATCATCATTTAAATGTCAATAAAAAACAAAATTTTAGACATTCAATTAAAAAAAACATGTATAATTGTAATGCAATACTGAAAAAATAAATCATATTGTTGAATAATTTAGCATAATACCAAAATCAATTTACTTATTACTATACTTAAATATAACTACAAACAACTATACATAACATTTTCTTGTTCTCTCTATCACAACAGTAACTTTTAAAAGAAGACAGTAATTATTAATACCATAATAAATTATATTGCACGATACAAGATTTAATAATAGTAAAATTACATATACTGCTTAATATCAGAAAAAATATTATAAAAATAAATAATAAACGAACGAAAACCAACATATTTCCGGATGAATATTGGAAAACAAATAAGGTATTGAATGGAGAGGATCAATTCGAATAAAAAAAAAACGTTTCTTTATATTCTAATAACGTTTCTTGAGTATAAATATATTTTTATTGTTAAGCAAATTAACAACAAGTATAATTTATAGTTATGCAAATAAGTATTCAGAAAATAACGTAATAACAAGATTTTATACCTCTCATTTTTCGGTTCAATGACTTTATATAATATACACAATTAAAAATATTGTGTAAACAGAATGACCTTGCAATAAAGGAAACAAACACCGATTTCATATACATTCTTCATTTGATATTGTTTTTTACAAGAATTATAGGATCAACTTGAATTATATTGTTTTGTTTTGCTTCTGAGGTGGGTGCATTTATGTATATTACCCCTTTAATTTTTTCATCGTAAAATTGAAACATAATTAGTCATCACATAGAAGATAATAAATTTTTTGTTATTATATTTTAAAATCACCTCATACAAGTCATCAATATTCCCTATTCTCGGGTATAGGGAAAAACACAGATTATTATTAATTTATAACAGTACCATTAGAAGCCTTAAAATATCATTAACTGATATTTATAAAGACAGAATATTCTAACTACTAGAATAAAACCACAATTATTAAATTATTTTACAATATTATCATAATAATTTAATTAATTAATTTTTTATTTTGCAACTAAAATAATGAATTGAATAATTATAACGTATATAATAATTATATTGAATTGTAACATATTATACAGGGTGGCCCACCACTCACTGACAATTTTAATAACATTTGATCCAGTTAATATTTTTAGCTTTTTTTTTTTAAATAATAGTTATACGTTAGGTCTATAGCTATATCTCAATAATTAATTTTTTTACATTTTATTAAAAATATTAATTATTTTTAAATTTTAAATTTAAAAAAAAATCAGCTAAAAATATTAACTGGATCAAAAGTTATTTAAGTTGTCAGTGAGTGATGGCCACCCTGTATACTAAATAACATAACAATAACAATAACTACAGATAAATGGCGAACATAAAATAAACAACTAATAGTAGTAAATTTGCACAATATGTAAAAAAAATTACAAAAATGTGGTTTAAAAACAAAAAAGAACTATCATTAAATTATTTGATTTTGAGTGAATTTTTACTGATTTTCTAATGCTCAATTTTACAAATTGAATTTTTTTCTCAAACTTCAAATATTTATGGTGTATTTTGAAGCTATATAACTAAAAAATTTAAAAAAATTGTTTTTGTAAAATTAGGACACCCAAAAAAATTGAACCTAGAATTGTGTATTTTTAACTATTAAATTTATAACTTTGTAGGCCTCTAAATCTCAAGAAAATTGTTTTAAATATTTAAAATTCTGTTGAAGCATAGATTATAAACTATAATACCAAATATATATACAATACCACATTTGAAAATCACTATAAAATAATAACTCATTAATCGATTTAAGTAAATTAGCCAATTTTCACAAAAAAGTGCAATTTTTAAAAAGTCATTTAAGTTTAGAATTTCACATACATTTTAGCTTAGATGAAAAGCTGAAAAGGTATTAGTTTTACTATGATGTGTTTTTTTTTTTTGTGTCTGTTACCACTTTTTCTCAACTTTCATCGAACCGATTTCTTTCAATTATACGTTAAAAGATCACAAATCGTATCTAGTCGAAGAAATTACCCTCAAAAATTGAAAAAAATTCCCTCGTTTCCCGTAAATGAGGGAAACCTCCAAAAAAATTACAAATTTAAAAATCACTAATTTTCGAAATTTTTTCAATTTTTTTTACTTAAAAGTGCATAACTTTTTCAAAAATGAATATATCAATATAATTCTTTTTTATATAGATGCAAAATATCATTGCCATTCATTTGGTATATTTTTTTTTTATATGTGACCCTTTACTTGCCCATAGGGGGGGATTTAAAATGATAACTTTTTCACAAAAAATTAATTTTTTCAACTTGATTTTTGAAAATGTTCCGGAAGATCTGACACTTTTATATATATCTTAAATTAAAGTTAATGTAATATACTTTATCATGAAAAAAAAAAAAATTTCGGACTTTATTTTATCTTCACGGTGAAAATGGCTACCGTATACTATTTTTTTGTGAAAATTCGCCATTTTGTATTTTACATTTTTAACTTTAATATACTATAACTTTTTGAAAAATGTATGGATCAATACAATTTTTTCATGAGGAGTAGTATTTATATACATCTTTCATTTGACATACTGTTTTTTTAAATCGGACTATTTCCCTTAATACAGGGGGGATTCAAAACATAAAAATGCATGTAGAAAGTAGAACTTTTTCAACTTAACTTTTGAAAGTGTTCCGGAAAGTCTGACACTTTTATATATATATATTAAATTAAAGCTAATGTAATATACTTTATTATGGTAAAAAAAAATTTCGGACTTTATTTTATCTTAATGGTGAAAATAGCTACCGTATGCTATTTTCGTGTGAAAATTCTTGATTTAATATTTTACGGAAATACTGACACTTTTATATATCTTAAATTAAAGCTTATGTAATATACATTCATATTAAAAAAAAAATGTTGGACTTTATTTTTTCTTCACGGTGAAAATGGGTACTGAATGCTATTTTTATGTTAAAATGCTCGATTTTATTTTTTACATTTTACATCAATACAATTTTTATGAGAAATAATATTTATATCTCTCTTTTATTCGACATACTTTATCTTAGTCTGGATATAAATAAGGAAATATCAGATCATGTAGCTTTTGGAATAATCCAGCAATTTTTTAAAACTAAACACTATCTACAGATTTGAATTGAAGCGTTTTTTATGATAGTGATTTTAATCACTGTCAGATATCACTATACTTGATTCAACTATGCCACGACACCACTGTGCGCGACCCCCCTGTGCTGGGTTGGGTTTTTTGTATGTTAACTATAAATTATAATAAGGTTAAATCTTAAGTTTTAATTCTATTAAGTCAATATTGAATAATCTGTGTCTTTTTAACGTTCTGGGTATTTTTAACATTTTTTACAATAAAATAGCCATATTAATGGGAAGGTCATAAAAAAAAATTGTTTTAATCTAATTATAACATAAAAAATAAACCTTGAAAATTTAAGAAAAAAATGAGGAGGTCATGCAACCACTTCTAAATGATTTGGCATGGATTGACTCTGAGTTAAACATTTTTATCATCAAGTCATTATTTTAAATAGATCATTTTTTATTTTATAAGCTAAGTAGTTAAATATATATGTTGCCGTTAAAAAAATTTATTTGAGACCTTAAGGTATAAGGGATTAATGAAAAAGTAACTAACCACTGATAAATCAAGATAGATATGAGAAAAAAACAAAATTTATTTTCTTAGTATCATTATTTTAAAATGAATCGAGTGACTAACGTTAAAAGAATCACTCTTTATGGTGCATATCTTTTAGCCCCTCTCTTATGAAAAATTTGAATAGGTTGATAACTACTTTACGGTAAATACTTATTGAACTACAAGCATTTTAATATATTTATTGTATATGAAGCACGACATCTCGTAAAGATGTAATTTTATTTTAAATAATTTATAAAGTTTTTAAATTTAAACTTTGAAATTAAAAAAAAAAACATTTTATTTTTTCTTATTAGTGATAAATAATAAAAATATGTTTTAAATGTATTCTAAGAGCCAATAATTATTTAAAAAAAATATTTCAACAAATGGTAATCATATTAAAATTTATAAGAATTTTCAAATAAATAGATCTGTATAATAATATGTATAAATAGTAATTAATAAATATTTCCACTAAAATGTTTGTTTTAGTGTCTTATTGTAAGCTGGTATGTTGCATGTGACATTCATTTTTACGTAGTTGGTGTAATATTATTGTACATTCACACAAAAAACCAGAAAGTGGGATTAGGAATAATTATTGTTTTGATATTTCTCTCATTAGCCATGCCATTTTACATAACTTTAATAACAAAATCAGATGGTATTGTTAAAGTTGATATACCGTAAGTTAACAATGCTTTTGTAAGATTTTAACAACCTAAAAATTAAAATAAGTTAATATATTTTTTAATTAAGTCAACTTTCAATTGGTAATTAATTCAGTGGTGTTTTTTCAAAAGCGTTATGTTAATTTTATTATTCGTCGAGAAAAACACAAATTTAAAAATTCAATAAAGATTAATGGAAATTCTTAGTACAAAAAAAATATATTTCATCGATAAAATAAATATACTATTTAATGTAGATGATACGCTTGACATTAAATGTCACCATTATTTGCGCTCGTTATCATGATAGTAAGCGATAACAACAATAATGATAGTCGCCGATCAATGTAATTGACAGTAAGGTTCGATCTACGTACTCGCGCAGAGAAATCGCCGGCTAACAAGTAAACTTATAATAAACACGATACAGTCCATTACTTAATATTTGCATTTACGTGTTATTTATTTATTCATTATATGTATTGAACCAGTTCGCAACAACCACTAATATTATTATTAAGCCATTTTAATAAGTCATAAAAATGACGTTAATATGTTATAAATTATGACATATCAGCTTTAGAAAAATTACTCAGAATTATTATATTAGTTATCAATGTTCCTAAAGAGATAACTTGATTTCAGTTTCTTGAAAAATCCAAGAAGTTCATTGACATTTAATAAAAGCTATAGACCTAGTTATACAAGAGCTACACCATTTTTTATTGGATTAGCTATTAATTTTCTTGTGAAAAAGCTTAATGAAAAAAAATTTAAGATGTCATATGTAAGTTAAATAAAGATATAAATAATTAGTAAATTATGGAGATATATGTATTTACATAATGTACTATACTCATATATGTTTTCCTTATTGATGATATATTATAATTTTATTTCATTTATTAAAAGACTGTTGTATATTTTGGAACACTTGCCTTCACTATAATTGGCTTATGGGCTCAATTTTACGGAGTACATTTTTACAATAAATTGCGCCCTTACAATCTCCTTGAAAATGCTTTATATGCAAGCGTTAGTCATTGTACGTGGACTTTATTGGCAAGTTGGATAGTAATATGCTATTTTACATCCAGTTATGGTAATTTTATTCGTAATTTTATAACAAACATAAAAAAAAAATTTTTTTGCCCTAGGACCGTTGGCAAAGATATTGAATAATCGTTTTGTAGTACCATTAGGCAGACTCTCGTATTGTGTCTTCTTAGTAAACCTTACGGTGATGACTATTTCCTCAAGTACAGAAAGATTACCCATCCATTTCACATATATTAATTTAGTAAGCTATAATCTATTTATATTATATTATATTATTTATTTATTTATTATATTTATATGGTAAATATATTATATTGTATTGTATAATAAGTTTAACGAATAATTTAATTAAGAACTTTTTGGATATAGGAAGAGAAAACTTTCTCTTAGTAATATCAAATTTGGTTTTTGCCAATTAAAAAAAATGGATAGTAATAAGTAATTTTAAACTTTCACTATTGTCCCAATCATCCTCGAATAAAGACTGAATATTTTTTATATGACAACTCATATAACTTATGATTTACATAATATTTTATACTTTTTTTTTTAAATCAATTTTTCAATATAGAACTATATTTAAAATATGTTTTATGTTATTTTTCGCAGTTCAAAAAAAATTTTAAAATTAAATATTTTAATAAAAATTTTTTTAAGATTTGAAGATAGCCATTTTATAGATAAATTTTGAAGAAAAATTTTGATATAAAAACTTTTATTTGAATTCAGTAGTTACATTTATACATCATTTTTAAGTTTTTTAAATTTTGATTTTTTTACAATTTTCCTATTGTATCAAATGTTAAAGTGATAATAATTATTAATTTGCGTGATTCTGTCATTGTAATCATATTTTATTATAGGATATTTGATAACAAATGCACTTATTTATTACTATTCACGTTTAAATTTATGATATATGAACTTATTTAATTAAAAACTCAACATATTTTAGACAATGTTTCTATGATTATTTTAATAATCTTAATTATACTTTTACTCGCTTTCTGTTACTAGTAAATAACGTAATAAGTTTTTACTTAATATAACATCGACTAACATTTGATATCATAGGAAAATTGTAAAAAAAATCAAAATTTAACAAACTTAAAAATGCTGTATAAACTTAACTACTGAATGAAAATAAAAGGTTTGGTATCAAAATTTTTCTTTAAAATTTATCTATAAAATGACTATCTTCAAATCTTAAAAAAAGTTTTATTAAATTAATTTTTAAAATATTTTTTGGAATTGCGAAAATAACATAAAACATATTTTAAATAGAGTTCAATATTGTAAAAATTTATTTTAAAAAAATGTGTAAAATGTTATGTAGATAACATTTTAATCATAAGTTATATTAGTTTTCAGTTAGATTTGTTCCATTCTGTATACATGTAAATTTTAAAGCTTAGGTTTTTTCATTTATGTATTTATTTATTATCCGATAAAATAGAGAAATGATGCCTTCATAAGAATGGTACAAATTCAATACACACAGTAACAAAGAATAAAAACTAATATTTAATTTTTGAGTGTTTAAGTTTCGACCGAGTATGTAATGTGGTAGTGCCTGATGTGCACTATCACTAATTAAAGACTCGGCCGCTAGTGTCTTCATTTATGGATCCTTCGCTTCAGTAACGAACTGGTCACCCATCTAAGTGAAACTTTGATTCAGAGCTTTTCCTTCTGAGGATGCCGCTAAATTATATTTTTAAAATTAATCAAATATTATTCTCACTACATATATATATTTTTTAGATAAATTATTGTATGCATGATATTTTCAAAAGTTATCTAATTGGAGCTTTGTTGTATTTTACAATCGACGCACCTATTTCTGATCTCATAAAGATTGTATTTGGAAGAAAGTAATTATGTATAAATATGAATATTATAATTATATATTATTAATAATTAGCTAAGCTACTCGTCTTTTATGTAGAATGGTAGAATAATTTAACGAATAAGCTGACCATTTTACCATGCCTTTTATTTATTGACTAAGTTCACATTTACAAAATTTATATTATCAAATAAAAAATTTCATGAATAATAGTTGAGTCACCATACAAATTCGTACGTGTAATTATAATGATGGTGGAAAGTTGAGTTTTTTCTATTGATATATTGTTGTGAAAATAAACTTTAAAGAAAAATGAATAAAACATAACACATTGATTCAAGATTCAAGATTTTACTTTAAACTTTTTTGAGTCATAAAAACAGATAACATCAATCTTTTGAAATCTATATGTTTCTTTAAATTTTAAAATGAGTTTCTGGCTAAAATAATGAAATTTCTTTTCCTTGGTCAAAAAGAGTCAATCTGTTTTTATTTTGTTTATACAACTATTAAAATGTTTTAGACAAAACTATCGCAAATCGAATGAAAATAATAAAACTCAAGAAAATACATGTAGTCCGGAAGATACGCAAAATGAAACAGTCGTGATCCAGTCTACCAGATTATAAAGACTAAAACATGTTTTTATGTTGAATTAGTACATGAAAATCATTTGTCACAAAGTACAATCCTTCTTATCTCTAGAGATAACATTACAATAGTTATACTTTTTTATTCTAGAGATTCTAGAGATTGAAAAACGAAATTTTCCTAACTATGGCTGTATCTAAGACTTATTAAAATTTAATTTTACTTTAAGAAATTCACATATTAATTTTAATAATAATTTTAAGCTTAAGCTTTATATCAAAATAAAATTTTATTGAATACTTATCAATAAATGTTATATTTTAAAAGTTACAGAGAAGTTAAAATATTGATAGATTACCTAAATAACAAAGGATATATTTATTTAATCTAATAAAAATATTTTAAATATAATCATTATCATTATAAAAATATTAAATGTCCATAATTAATTGTGTATAAAAATATTTTAGTAATGTTAATATAATAATCGTTGGCCTTCAATTTTACATTATATTTTATTAATATCTAAATACTTTACCTAAGACTTAAAGTCAATTTCTTGTCCATTCAGAGTAAATGTTCCATTGACTGTCAAGTCCTGTTCGTTTCCTGGTAAACATTACTACAACAGAAAAATGTAAAATATATGCACAAAAAAATTTACATAAGCCTTATGGAGCGATTTAAAATGAGCAATTACAACACACTAATTTACAAGTAAAAATTGACAATTATTTTTACAAATTGGCTGATATGAATAAATGTAAAATTAACAGAGTGATTGAAATCAGAAGTACTATTTGTTTTCTATTTTAAACATAAAAGGGTGGAATAAAGAAAATAATTTGTAGTAGAGGAAGGAATAAAGAAAGGAGCATTATTTTGAGTATGTCGAGCAGGAATATTTTATAATTACTTATTATATTAATATATAATATGATGTTATCATTTGTACATGTATGTCACATATTATGATTATACAAGATCACTAAAACAGGGTTCTCTTATTTAAAATACAAAGTAACCAGTTAATTATGGGATAAAATCTACTCATTGTAGAGATTATTATGTAACGCCTACACGCAGGGCCCTCATTATAATTAACCAATTAGAATAGAAAGCGTCAGCTTCCAGGATCACGGTAGGGATCGCTAGTCTACCCCCTTTAGACTATAAAAAGTCATTTTTCCTTGTGTAAACCAGTTCTTTCGGCGATTTTAAAATACACAAAATCTACGACACTCTACTCAAGATTTCACTCTCCGTGACTTAGTCGATATTTTAATTAATCTGGACTTAGAATATTTTTCTTTGAAACTAAATGACACATAGAAAGTTAATTTCGTTTTGGTGAATCTCTTAATTTAATTTAATTTGTTCATTGTCGTAACTCAAAAATAAAAATATAAAAATAGTGTTCTAAAAATTAAAAGGTGTCAGAATGATTATTATTGTTGGTGTAAAAAAATGTGTAAGTGAGAGTTACTTTTGATTCGGGGTGTAATTTGAGGGTCATAAAATAACGATATAAAAAAAATCTTACCTGGTAAATTCTCTGGTTCTTATAATTATTCTTAGTGCTGATATAGGTGAAGATGATAAATAAAATACACAAGTTCAGATTTTTAGTTCACAAATTAACACATAAAATTTCGACAATGACGATTACTACGTTCGCACAACTTAATGCGGAGCACGATAAAAAAGAGCGTAATGCGGACCACGAAAAGAATAGCCCAAATACAGAGCACGAAATGAACAGCCCAATACGGAGCATGAAATGAACAGCCAGGAGCAAGGGTTTGCTCTGGCTTTTTATAATATTTTTTTACCCCCAAAAATCGTCACTGTCGAATTTTTAGTATAATTGTTTATTGATAAGTAAGCATGAAAAACAGAGATCAATACAGATGAATAGAACATAAATTAGTTTGACATTTACATATATAACATTAACATGTTTTTTTATAAGCGAGACGAAAATTGATATAATGCATTTAACTATTAATAGTAGAATAACAAAGATGACAAAAATAATATAGATTTTATTTTGGTGAGGAAGGATTTTTAAAGTAATTATTAATTGATTTATGATCGAACCGCATACACTACAATGTAGTTAAACAGTGTAAGTTTTTTGACTATTTCTCTTAAATGTCTATCTAAGTTTTTGTTCGAAAAAGGATCATTTCCTTGTAAGAATATAATGTATAATGAAACAAGTTAAAATGTACCACTTCTATGGATAGAAGTGGTGACTATTTGAAATGAAAAAGAATATATTAATAAATACTAAAAAGATAGCATTGTTGAGTACATGAACAGGGTATTTTAGTGTTATCCCATATAAATAATAGTGACGATTATATTACGACATCCGCCCTGATTTTTTTAAATGTTGTGTTCTCACAACTGAAATACAATAGCGGATTAGAAAGGTGAGATGAAAGTTAATGTTATATGGTAAAAATTGATATAAGGAACATATCTGAAAATTATTAAATGTGTTTCTGTTTGAAATGATATGTAAGAGTGCATAGCATGTACTCGTTATGATCGAAAGAAAAAAATGTATATTATGCTTAAATATAAAAAATAGTAAATATTGAATAAGTAAAAATTTAAATCATGAATAAAATGATAGTAATAATGTATGAATATAGTATATAATAATGTGATTATGATATTATATAATAGTAAGTATAATAATGATAATAGTAATAATAATAATNTGTGTTCTCTCCATACATAGTAATAGCGATTAAAATAATAAGTTCAGGCGTTTTTCATTCTTCTACAATTTTGGTCTTTGTAATTTATATGTATTGCAATTTGGTTCTGTATGATTATAAGACTGCTATTCAATATGGCAATCTATGATTCATCTTTGTTGTAGGACTTCGTAGTTTATAGTAACTGTCTTATGAAGCCATGATTGTAAAAATTTAATAAATTTTAATAATACAAGTATATTTATTTAAATTTTTTTACAATATATATATATATATATTGTATGAATACTTAATTCTTTAGTTATACTGATAATATGAATTGTATAGTCTTCATCTGGCATCGTTGAACTAATTATTTTATCACCATTACTAGTATGAATTGTTTTTTCTTCATTCATAATGATCGTATGTATTTTATAATGATTTGAAATAGTTGAAAATTGCTTTACAATTTTTTTATACAAAATTGTTAGTTTTATAAGATAATTACAAAATTATAATTAATGATTATACAATGATTAAATTTTAAAACATTAAATTGTTACATCTAGACACGGAGTGAATAAATATAGAACAGCAATTATTAATATTTCATTCGCTTATTTAAATAATATAATAATATTGCTTTAGCATTATTTGTATAATTATGAGTATTTAAATTATGTATAAGTGGTACGTAATATAATGTGCAATATATATTTATCTTAAAGGTTAATAAATTAGAAATTTATTGTTATAAACATTTTTTTTTTATTTTTATTTAGTAACAAAGTTTTTTCTATTTTTACCGATAGATCAACAATTGTCTAAAAATTTTAATCTCCAGTGTCAAAAATAGTAATAACATGCTTAATGCAATTAATTTTCATGGTGAATTTAACAAAAGAATATGAGTAATTTTTAAAAGGCCAATAATATTTATTTAAAGAAATGTGAAATATATTTTTTATATGTAAAACATTTCTTCTAAAGTTAGGTAAAATGTTAAGAATATTTTTTATAAAAGAAGTTAAGTTATTATTACAAAGTGTAGATATGTCTAGTAAAAATGAATTTATTTCNATTATTACAAAGTGTAGATATGTCTAATAAAAATGAATTTATTTTAATAAATGTGTATTGAAAAAGTATATTTTTTAAATTGTGTGCTATTTTCGTAGTGTTATGAATATTATGATTATAATTAAAATTTATTTTAAACCAATCTGTTAAGTTCACATATATTTGTATAAGTTTATAAATTAATGCAATTAAGATAAAATACTGGAAATTTTCTATTGCCTTTAATAGATCTATTTTTCTTTTAACTAAAGACTGATTTAGTTTAATTCTCTCATTGATATTTTCATCTGGAATAAATATACAATTAGAATGTAAATTATTAGTTTTAATTAATGTTGATGTTGCAAAATTATATGATGTGTCTGTTTTAATATTTTTATTTATTTGTTTGTTTAACTCTAATTTATCTGAATTTCGAAAGATAAAATTCTTTATTAAACTTTCGTCGCGTGGTGCTTTAATTTTAAAGATATCTTTTAATTGTGAATTATTGTATTGTATTCACATTTTAGGAATTTTTTTGGGTTCAGTGTTTATGAAATGAGATGACATGCTCTTTGATCCTATGTTAGAATTTTTGTCTGTAATTTTGACTATTATTACATTTAAATTTAAACAATCGAATTTTTTTCTATTTTTATAATAATCAATAAATGACACATCATTTTTGGTGATATTTTTATCATAAAATTCTATATTTAATTGATCATAATTTAAGGTATTATCAATAAATACTGGTATTGAAGTTTTATTATGTAAAGTTATGATTTTTTTATTAGAAGCAATGACACTATTATTTTTTAATAAAAAGTCTTGACCTAAAAGTATAGAACAAGGCAAGTTGTTAACAACAAAAGCTTTAATGTGATAATATACAGAATTTATTTGTAAAATAATTGTTGTTTCACCTAAAATTGTTGGTGATGTGTTCTCTGGGTTTTCTACTTTGAAGCTTATGGAATTAACCTTTTGATTTTTCAATATTAAAGTGTAATTTATACAAGAAATCTTTGATTCCGTGTCAATTGTAATTGGTATAATTTTATCATACAATGTAGCATAGAATTTTAATGTATCAGAGATATTTTTACTTTTTAAGACATAATTATTATATTTGTTTGCTGAATACAATGATAAATTGTTTTTTTCAGAATTTTTGTTTAACTTTAAATTAATGGGTTTTGGAATTACATTGCACATAAGAGCTGAATGATCACTTATATTACAAATACGACAAATTTCTTCTTTATTGTTTGATACATATTGATTTTTAAATTGGTTATTGTGTGGTATTAAATTAATGTTGTCATTAAAAAATTGCTCCTGATTTTGTTTCAAAGTTCCAATTTCATTAGTTAATTTTTGAAATTCATAGAAATCATTACTTTGGGAAATATTATTAATTTTTTTACTTATTACAGGCTCTTTTATTTTAGG